GTAATAAAAAAATAAAAACTTTTAGAGCGTGCATAAGTGCGGCTGTCAGGAACATTTGGTTTGTAAAACCACGACTCACGTGACACTTCCGATTGTGAAGATTCCCTTTCCCATAAGGCAGTGTGTGCCGAAAAACGAAACATAATCTTCTTTGTAAGATTTCTAGTCATCATTGTAACATGAAATAAAATCTGACGGTTTCATATGGTCTTGTGACTAAGAATCAATGTTTTGTATAGTTCTTCGCAGTCTGTTTCACGTCACCAGCACGCTAACTGCACTTTCCTTGGGTTATTCTCGCATTTAAGCAGCAGATTGCCCCAGGCTAATCGTGGTTTTCCCTTACGTTTACCGAACTTTTACTGCTCTTTTCCCGTAGGTTATCCGCATTTTATCCGGAGTCTTATCTGGCAGTTTTTCCCAGCAATTTAATAGCGCTTGCCTCGCAGATTCCCCGCCCATCCCACATACTTTCTTACACCTGGCAATAAAGAAAAAAATATAGCCCTCTTGAGCAGGCCATCACGTTCATAATGACAATACCCGTGAAGAGTGTTCGAAATTGAAGCTGCAATTTAAAGAATGGCCTTATTGTGACTCGATTATGGTTTCCAAGGGGAAAAAAATTAAATTTGGGGAGTGAAACTCCGAAAATTCGTCGTGGGAATGATATTTGATTATGAATTTTTCAAAATAGAGATAAATATTAGATTTATCGTCCCTCCAACCGTTACTACAGACATAAGCCTGAGTGACAATGCATTTTATTTCCTTCGCATACACAAAATTCCATATTACAAAAATATATAGGAAAAAATATCTTTATTCTTAACTTGAGACACTTTTCTTCGTTAAATTTTCTTATAGTGCCTCAACAACTCCAATTCTTTACAATAGCTCATTAACACATCTCCGCATCTTTCGACGCATGAAAAACTTCAATTAGTCACCGGATCTCTGATTTAGTAAGTGTGCTATGATTGTTCAATTTAACGGGCCGTTTTTCCCTGTGTTTTGTGAATCCAGAGATATCTTAGTAACCTAGTTTTCCAGGTTCGTTTTATATGTTATGCCTTTTACGCTCGTTTTCTCCGCTCGAAAAAAAAATCGGTCTATAACTTACAGTACGGACATCGAACTCGGTTAGTAACTGCTATTTCAGTTTCTCTATTTCACAAAATACGCGGCCTAGATTTATGTACCGGTATTTATTCATTTACACACACGTGAATGTTAATGAAACTAACACCGCGTCTTTGATTTTCAGTTTTATATTATAAGTGATATTAATCGGAGACACTTTGTGAGGGTTACAAGTAAACAAAATGCTTTGTAGGGATCAAGAAAAACCTAACCATATTTGGCAAATCAATCTTGCCTTTCATCACCCTACCAGCTGTTGAAAGTATCCCATAATATTCTTTGACTTCATTATGTCTCGTATGTCTCTGACTCGTAATTTTGTAC